ATAGAATCTTGGACAGTGTTATGAAACTGGCAGAGATCTGAAAGTATACATGTGTTTCCTCCGACATGAGCAACATTTTTATCGTAATTTCGCTTCAGAAAATAGGGCAGGAAATTGAAAGCTTTCCAATATAACGTATGTAGCAAAAATCAGATGTCAGCATAGATTACTGTAAATAGATAAATGTATCTATTCTATGTCGCTATATAAATATTGTATATATAGTATTCGTTCATTTCAATTACGTCAGGTAGTCAATAGGGATTCGTTCGATAATGTTTCTGGTGCTTTCTTTGGAAAGTTTAATTTTCCCTGCCACATCTTGCTTTGAATTGTAGTAGAAGTATATTGATTATATATATATATATATATTTTTTTTTTTTTTCTTCGACTAAACTGGGACGCTTTCTATAGAAAAATATTATTGAAGGTGCCACAAGCTTTTAGATACGCTCGTATGACTTCTAGGGGTGGTGATCTTGAAAAATTATACGAAACTAAGGAACTATGCGAAAAAAGACCCCAAACAACAATTTACGTTAAGTCTTTTTTCTGCCCAAAGTTACATTGTGCCTTGTAATTTATTGGACTTCATATCTTGTGACCCGTCTCTCTTCTCAAAAGCTTAACCGAAAAAGCAAACAAAAATGTATAGGGCGTGTCCTAAACGTCCTAATAAGATTTCTTTGAATGGGAGTAAACACGTTCTTACAGTAACATAAACACTCATCGAAACTCTGGTAGAAGTTAATTTATTCGACGGATTCAGCATCAGCTAGTACGCCATAGGTAGGACCCTAGTAAAAACCTCACCAATAAAAGGACTCAAAGGTGCTATAAATGTAATTACAATCGGGACTCATGAGCCGTATCGATATTTGTCTTGTCAGCAACGCAAGGTAACTTCTTTACATTTAAATGATGACGTAATTTTACCCAGAATTAATTTGTTCAATGACAATGCATGTTTGCCTACTGCTGGCCTTAAGGCTTACGAGACAAGTCATGTTCCTGTAAATGAACATTTTGTAAGCGTTGTAATGGCTTGTTCCAAGGTCGACTCTATTTTGGGCTTCGTGAGGATTTTCAGAAAGCTTCGTAGGTAGACGGCCCTCACATGGAAAAAGTTAACTGGAGAGAAATTGTTCTTCTGGCATAGCACATAGCGTGCGTGCGTGCGGGATGGAAAAGGCGATGGTGTTGAAAACTTGAAAGCAGAAGCTTTTTTTACTCTAACTAGGTTGGATATACGCAAGCTGATGAGGGCTTCTACTTCTAATGTTACAAGTAAATTATTGTGAGCTTATTAATCCTGTACAGAAGAGCACAGCTGCTCAAGTAATATTAAAAAAGTCGAGTAAAGCCTGAACATCGGCATCAACCTCATCCAGTCATAGCGATTTGACCAAGACTTAAACTTGTTAAGTACAGAATCTTAGCTTTTACAGCTTTAGGATTTTCATATCGGATAATGTGCCCCATCAATCAATGTGTCTCATAACATTTATGATCAAAGAAGACCCTAGCTTCGTCAGATAGCCCCTAAGCTGCGACTGCAGCTTAGGGGCTATATATATATATAGCTCTAATAGTACTGAAAAATATATTTAGGCTTACATCAAGAATGTGTATAATAAGGAATATTGTGTCGCAATAACTACGATGTGCCTGTATGTAGATGTCCTTGATTTCGAACTGGTAGGAACGTGGTAAGTACATATAAAGTACATATTATGCCCTTTTCATGTTTGTCGTAAACTAGTGCGATGCACAATAGCCGACGATGCCAGTTACAAGCTATGCATAGAATTACATAGATCAACATAGACTGACTAACGTTTCAAGGATAACAGGCTGATACAGACCAGTTAGAAGAGATGATTTTTTGGGGATATCGATCCTGTCATCCACCACGATAACAAATGCCGTTCAAATGGAACATGTATCAGTATTACGTGGACAGCGTTCTTCCTACCGTCCAAACTACATGTGCTCGATTTGTGACTAAACGAAGACGCAGTAAAGTCTTCGTCAGCTTTGCACACCACGTGAGGATACTACAGGAGTGATGGTGATTCAGTAGGAAAGTGAGACACAAATTTTCTAATTAATGATACCATCATCTGATTTCGAAGCGCTGCCATCGATTGCAAGAAAAATCAGTTGCTCAGGCTTAAAATTGCCTGAATTGAATATGTTCGAAAGGCCTGACGAAGGTATGTTCAAGGAATCGTTTCGTACAATATACAGTCTATAGTAGTCATATCGAAAACGCGCACAAAAGTTTTTAGTTATATATCCCTCCTACTCACACCCGATACGTAATAAACACTGATTTTTCGTAAAAAATTCATCCCTCCTTGCATTTTTTAGACCCCACACTGATTAGGTAATCTTCTCCGAGCGTTAGCTGTTCCCGTTGAGATCTAAATATTCCTAAAAACGCTAAACTATGCACCTCTCAACCGGACGTGTCTTTTAGATTCGGTATCATGGCTCAAGGTCTGATCAAGCTTCAACACACAACAACTCCGAAATTATGCATCGAGCGAAATATCTAGCGACAACTGATCTATTTTTTGTGTGCTACTTCACTTATCTAGCCAATGCGTACATCACTGAAGGTTTACAAAGCGCTCAGTTCACTAACCGGAACGTGTGACACGCTAGCAAGCCGACTATAGCAGGGCTTGCAAGATGCTCAGCCAAATTCAACGAACACTGGAAAGAACAACACCGATAAATCTATCAGATACTTGATGGCAAAAAAAAGGTCTATAAAGATGCTAATATAATGAAATATCCCTAATTCATTTTCCTTACTTGTGGCGGCCAAAATCGTCGAAAAAACTCGATAGAAGATTCGCCGGTGGGCAGTTTACTTAAGGCCGGTCACACAGTTTTCGGCTATTAGTCCGTGCTTTTCGTAGGTCTCTTTATGGTCAACTTTTGACCGTCCAACGGCACGAATGTCGGATAAATATACAACTAATCGCTAGCAATCTAACAGAGCTGCACCATCTGTCGATCCCTCTAACTCTAAGATATTTTCCCCATCTCTTTCATGTAAAATGCTAGACATGTATCCTGCATAATACAATTTTATATCAGTGCTCTACGCACTAGCAACACTAACTTCTGATTGAGCGTATGCAAATGGTCGGATGGTCATGACATCCGCAGACTGCACTCTTAAGCCAACTGTATTGTATGTGACGAGCACGGCCAGCAACACTCATATTGCTCACTTGTTTTACAGTAAGACGAACATTGACAAAGAAATCCATCGTTGAGTTGAGGCCCATTTGGCCGACTGTAAGCGGTCGCTGAAATACCTGCGTTCTATGCTACGAGGGGATAGCGGGGCTTGGCAATCGTCTACAGAGACTCCGCTGTGTAGGCAGAACCCCAGAAGACAAACGAGCCTTTGCTCGCAAGGTGTCGCTCCAAGTCTTGTTCAGGTTATTCACTGGTCCCGTAGTAACGCTTCGAAGGACTAAGACGATTCGCCTGGAGCGCCTGGAGTACTAATCAGAAAATGCGTTTGAGGCCGTTTGGATCCTGCTAGCAGCGCTGCGAGAGCCCCAACTATAACGGTAAGAGCACCTAACATAAAGCGCCATCTACCGTTCAATTTAACCGCGTCTACAAGCAGCAAAATCGAGGCTCCTCTCAACATCCCGTTTCTTCGATATGCAGAGTTCAGCGGCGGCAGCGAAGGCGGCGGCAGCGGCCAACTGTACCTTTTATGACTGCTTCTACTAACTACGACTACCGCCATTCTATGCTGGCTCTTACGCTGTTTACAATATCCTAGGCTGGTCTAGAACCACCCCACAGTTGAGGCCAGCGGCTGCCGCCGAGAGCAAGAGGGATATATACGTCGATTATTTCAGAACCGCCGTGGGCGGAGCTACTCCTCGCTTTCGGGTGACGCCCGGGCTCAGCCCTGCTCACCCGCTGGCTGGCTGGCTGGCTGGCCCGCCCATTAAGATTGACTGCGGCCTGGTCGCTTGGGCGGTAGAGAAACAGCCGACGTGAATGTTCGCCGAGTTGTTGCTGGCGCGTCGAGGCAACGATCAACTGATCAGGCCGTACAATTGGCGAAGTTAGAAAGGTCACCTCGGTCTAATGGTATCGGCCTCAAGCAGCAAAGCCGGAGACTTGTTAAAACGTTACATAACAACAACGGCAACGGCGGCGGCAGCCGCCAAACTACAACTACGAGCATGTATCAGATGTGCACTGTGCAGCGATCGCTGATATCATTACGAGGAGAGGAGAAGTGGGACCGAGGTCGTCGCACGGCGATCATATCATTCGTGATCGCTGATCGTTCAAGTCGTCCAAGACTTGAATGCAATTGGACCGGATGAGTGCATTTGTTTCCTATTCAAGTGCTATCCAAGCGGATAGTGCTAGCTGAACGACTAGCGATACGTTAGCGTCGGACTAGATCTCAAAAATTTTAAGCTAAGCATATGGCTTCAGCGGTAAAAACGTAATGCGTGATTGTTAATGACAGTCATTTAACTTATTTTTCCTTTCGTGTCACTCGCAGATATGCTCTCAGACAATAATAGACGGAATACGGGGTTTGCGGACGGTGCAGTTCGGCTCCGACTTTTCTATGATGTGTCGTGATTTGTGATACCTGCCTGCGTTCTACTGTTCATCAACCAGATCAAGTAAAAGGAGTTTTTTTCCTAGCGACGATGAGAACGCTGTTCGAAAAGATGAAAATGGCGTGATAGTGCTTCCACAACAAGTGCTTTATGTCACTGGTTCATTAGACGACACTATATTATGTGTTTCCCTGTCTGTAAGGATCGATCATGTAATTTCCGTGAAGGGTGAGGCGTTCAGCAGCGTTAAGTTTATGTTGTTGGTGCCGACGATCCAGCTTTTCAGAAACCTTTTATTTGAGAAAAACGTCAACGTTCACCTCAGGTAAGATAGATAACCAAAAGTAGACAAAAAAAATAGACTATTGCTGCAAAACCGCCTCTCTTTCCAGGTATGAGTTAACTTAACAGGACACAATGTAGGACGAGTTTCTACAGTGGGTCTTGGATATTTGGTACAACAGAATGCATATTTCATGGTAATCTGTTAATATTTCGATAAAAAAAAACAGTTTGGATTCTGAAATAGGACAAAATCTGCTCTATTTCAGATACATTATCTCATATTTGGTAATCATTAATGCATTTTTAAGTATTTCCGAATGAGTGCCACAGTTCTCAGGGCTAAAAAGTGTTTAAACTTACCGTTTTTTGGAATGATTTGTTTACTTTTATGCGGAAGATAATTGCTCAATAGCGAAAAATAGGGTGGGCCTTAAAGTAGACCACTATAGACCGGACACATGTACATATGCATATTATAGGAAAAGTAGATTAAATGTAACAGGCCGAAATGAACCTCTACCGTAATATTATTTAGTGGCCACGCTGCCTGTTCCCGAGGTGAAATTTTAATTGTTCTTCATAAAAAAATTAAAGGTAGATAGGTTACCAATAGCAGTTTTAGGGTTCTATCCTATACATATAGACGATATGTTCAAATTTTAGCGGGCATTTGTCACTAGAACAGGCCAACCCTAATCTAACTGAAACTATCAAATGACAACAGCACGGCTTAGAAGACGATTTCGAGTTTGTACTTGGCATTTGTAGCTTCATAGAGACGGTTCAGAAGCATTCATATTAAAATAATGTACCGGTGTAATAGCAATAATGGAAATGGTTCAACTAATATCAAAGATGCTGTTGTGTTGAGCGGTGTGGTTAATGGTAATGGCAATAGTAATACAGGACTAATACAGGCGGTCCATTCGTTATAGGGAAGTACTTTGTCAGTTGCATGCCGTCATGAATGTCCGCGAACCGGGAGGTAGTCGAGACTCATTGCAGCCTTTATTTTCCCAAACGGTCACGTAAAACACTATAGATTGCTCCCTTTTGTAGAAGTGATTTAGAGCTCGTTCAATAAATAAACACGTGCCTGAACGATCAAGCCTGTTTTAGACACCTAGGTTAGGCTAAAAGTTCGAATCTTCAAATCCTTATTCTCATAAGATGTATTTCAAGTGCAAAAAAATGCGACAGTGCAGTTAAATGAGATATTAAAAAGACCAACTTTGACGATCTTTGGATCAGGGCAACGTAAGCCTTTGCAACGCTTGACATTTCACTAACACACTAATTGAAAACAAAACGCGTCGAACATTTTTCATCATAATATTGTCAAAATTATTAGGAACAGTTGAAAAAGTTATATCCATTCTATTTAGATGATTTGGTATTTCCTTCATGTGATTTTTCACCGAGTCGAGTCGAGTGACCGAATTCTCCGAGAACGATATCTCCAGACGGCCAGAAAGTAAATGGTGAACGAAACGATATCTATTAGATTCGGTTGAAATTTCCACATGGTACGAAACTGGTTGATGGTCACCTAAAGAGTGAGAAGAAATCCCCTACAAACCAGAGTCTCTCTCAAACCAGCGCCAATGGCATCGCCGCATACTGTTACCCAAACTCGGATACTTAAATGCCGAGGCTTTCGTTCAACGTTCAGCCTTCTCAATAAAATACAGGATGCGAAATAGATATGTTTGTATATAATGCTTCTATGTTTTTTGTTGGAAATTAGAGCTTTGCCTCTTATGTTTCTGTTAGGTGTGGATATCGCTTACTTCCGTTATCTGGTATGGCCACAGTTCGGTTTGATAAGAAAAATTATGTTTGACCTAAAGTCGTGTGATTATTATAACGTGCTCATTTGACGAAAGACCGCTTATTGTCTCGTCGACAAGGGGACATGGCCGCAGTGATGAATGGATTCTTCTTACTTCGGCAAACCGTTGGATCCGCAGGAACTTTGCGTCTCTGTACGTGTTAAAATTCTATTGTTTTGTATGGAATACATTAGGTTTTGAGTATTAGATAGACAAGAATAAGGACTTTAGTTGCTTGGTTCAAATTAAGTTTAAAGGTGATGTGTCTTCATATTTAGGTGAGCTGCTTCGGCAAGGTATGACAGCGCTTTCAGCTGACTTAATTTCATTGACTGACCACTGAAAATCTTAGTAAAAGTTATCCGCTAATTACGAAGACAGGATGACGTACGTTCATCTGAGCAACGCAGAAAACCAAGTTTAAAACGGCTGTTGACCGGGTTTTTTTTTTTGCTTGTTTTCTCAAACAAGCTCAATCTCAAAAATCTCTTGAATGATAGGTGCGAAAAAAGAATATCTAGGGCAGTACTTCTCTTGACAGGCACAGCGTGTGCCTGTAATTATCTGGTCTACCTCAATCCCGATTGTGAGCAAGACAGATACATATGTGCACACGCGCCCATATTCCCAGACACACAGCCACCGATGTTATAGTTGCCATATGTGAAAATTATCATAAGCTAACAACAAAAAACGTAAGCTTTTCACGAAATGTTGTTACCATTTTGATTTATTTTTTTCTTTTTTGTTGAATTTATTGAAAATTATACATAGACAAATTAAAAATGCAGAACGTTGTTCCAAATGCTGATCCCAAATTGACCGCCCGTGAACGTTTCAGTTCTTCGAAAGATCTTAAGGATAGAAGTGTATTGATACCCACACTAGAAATACACATAGGAATGTAAGTGTATCACAAAGCAACACTGGAAACCGGTTTCCTCCAGTGTCTTTTCCAAAAGTGTCAAAGAGTAACTTAGGCCAAAAACTCGTTGTTGTCAGCGGATAAGAACCACTAATATCTGTAGCCACTTACCAGTTCCACTGCTGTTTATCAGTTGGCTATTAGAGATATAGTTTATTTATACCGTTGCGTACGAGACGTCGTTAAGTACATTTCTACTGAATAAAACGCGGTAGCCTTGGTTTCAACCGTTAATACGAGGGGCAACGTTATAATTCTCTTTACTATTGTGATCCATAGTAAGACTCGTGCCAAGGTTAGTATCTGTTAGAGCAAACTAGCATTTTTTTTTTAACTTACGGTCGGCATCTGGTATTGGGAAAGATCAGTTTGTTAGTACGAAGCCTATAGACTTCCTAATGAGGCAGTGCGTTCGCTTTTTACAAATAGTCAGTATTCTACAATATGTGAAATGGCACTTGATGTTACTTATAAGGCCCTTTCAAGCCGCGCTCTTCTTAGTTTTATACTATCAAATAACAATACTCAA